AAGACAGGAGAGAGATAGAAAGAGGTGACTAGTAGAGGGGCTCAGTGTTTGCATTTATTTCCATTCTCACAATTCACTTTTCTCTATCTCTCTCCTCTCTTATAGAGTGCCATTGGCACTCTATAGAAAAAACCCTTTGGAGTAAGCCACCAACAACTTCTAAAAGCACATTAAATTCTCAGGGCCCGTTTGGATTGCTGAAGATTGTTGGGTATTTCTGACAGCTTGTAGTTTTCAGCCCAAAACGCTACAAAATTGAGTGAATTGCGTGGAAAGCTGGAAGATGTCAGTGAAATGGGTGGGGGCAGCATCAGAAAAAGAACTGGCGCTCTGACACACTATGTCAGCTTTCAACTCCTTTCCGTCTCAAAAAACATTAACCAAACGCACCTCAATAACTATCGTTATTGCAGAAAAATCCGAATAAATTTTCGCATTCCGTAAAAAACCCCTTGTACGGCGTAAGTCCATATTTTTTGCGTTGGCGACTCATTTTAGATCCTAATTGTGATTAACGTCGTCAAGGGTGTTTTCTGCAAAATGCAAAAACTTGTTGGAGACTTTCTAAAATTGAAATGGTAATTGAGGGTTTAATGTGATTTTAGAAGCTTTAGGGTTTACTGTGAAATGCTAAATGTTATTTGGGTTTAGTGCTTAAATAAACAGTAAAGGTTGTTAGTCATACAAGTTAACATTGATTAACGGCAAAAAGGTACCTATAGTCACTAAGGGATGTTTGGTTCAAATCCTAAAATTATAGGATTTGGAAGTTTATCAAGAATTTTGAATCCATGTGTTTTGAACATATTTTGGAATTTCTAATCTTATGTTTGGTCCAACTTGATTAGAGTAAAGCAAGTTCTATAAATTATAATTTTTTTTTTGATTCAAACTCTAAAATGTAGAAAAGGACAAATGGGTATCTAATGTCAATAATTTAAATTTTTAGCCTTTGTCAAATCCTCTCCAAATTATAGGATTTCAAAAATCCCAAAAGTTCCTATTTTTATTTTATTTTATGGATACCTAATGCCAAAATTTGTTTTGAAACATACACTATACATGAAATCCCATAAATAAAAATGAGATATTCTTGCTCCAAAAATTTCAACTCCATCTCAAATGCTAAAATTTTGTTGAATCAAACAGCCCCTAATCCAATGGATGACTTTGTTTGTTCCTACTCATAAATTATGTTTTTACCTTTTTTGTGAACAAAGCAAGTGATGGAAGGCTAAATTTAAAATTATCTCCAAGTCTAATTTCAGTCTTCGAGATTTGATATTCTATCTTAAATTGGTCATACTAGTTTTCTAACGAATTAAGTCTAAAGGCCTGTTTGGTTCATGTTTTCCATAAATGAAAGGAAAAGAAAAAAAGGTGCAAAAATTTGTTTCCATATGTTTTTACAAATTTGTAGGAAATATTTTTTTATAATGTCAAAAAGTGGTGGTTTCTTTTTTTTATATAACTTTTTATTAGTTTGATTCAAAACATGAAAATGAGGATTCCAAATTTAAAGAAAATATTAATTTCCTATTATTTTGGTTGGTTTGATATGAAAAATCATATGGAAAATTGAATCACAGCAGCACCATAGGCAGCATCATAGGAGATATTATCATCCATAAAATGTAGCGTTGTTTCTAAATTAGGCCCTAAAATCTTTAAATGTAGAGTTGTTTCTAAATTAGGCCTTAAAATATTCGGTGTGTGTTTGGCAACAAGGTAATATTGGGTTAGCTCTGACATGAAAATTTGTCAAACAAAAAACTAAGTTAAAATTGTGACATTATCAAAAAAAAAAAAATCCTATGATTTTTCTTAGTTTGATTCAAAACGTGAAAATGGGGATTCCAAATTTAAAGAAAATTTTAATTTCCTATTATTTTGTTTAGTTTGATATGGAAAATCATATGGAAAATTGATTAATAGCAGCATCATAAGAGAGATCATCATCCATAAAATGTATGCAGTGTTATTTCTAACTTAGGCCCTAACATCTTTTATATTTTAACTATAGTCCTCCAAATCTTCATATTTCAGCATTGGTCCCTCAAAGGATTTGTAGCGACAGAATCATCAAAGCCACCTAATAATATAAACACAATCGTAATCAAATTAAGAAAGGACTTCATAAAAAAAAAGGTTTTAAAAATCTGATTTTTAATGCATCAAAAGAAGAGGGCCTCAAGAATTAGCAGGAGTTTAAAGAGGGAAAGGGGACAAATAGTCAAATCTGAATGGAACCAAATCCGAACATAACCAACACAATTTCATCTCCCAGTCATCATGAACTTCTGACCTACACTTGATTGTTCAATATTGGACCAGAAATTGAAGAATTCAAATGTGAAATTGGGCAATGAAGGTTAAGATTTTTTTTAAAAAAAATTATTAGAGATGATGTAGTTGTTGAACATGAGATTTTTTTTTTTTGGGGTGGGGATCTCAAAGATGTTGAGGAGAAAATGAAGAAGACAGAAAGGGGAAAAAATGGAGAGTGAAGAGAGGAAAATGGAAAAAATTGGAGCGGTGTCACTAGGATTTCTCCTCTCCTCCAGCGAGAGAAGCCATAAAAGGGAGAAAATGGGGATCGATAATATTTTAATGGTTTAAAATAGGGTGTGTCATTTTACTTTCTCATTTCCACCCAAATCTAGAGGATGTGGGTTTCTAAAAAGAAAAATGACTTAAGGATCCAAAATATGGGATCAAGGGAGTGGACATGTGAGGTGTCCCCTCCCTATTGCATAATGAGCTGATCATGCTAATTCATTATGCAATAGGAGAATGACATCTCACATGTCTCCTCCAATTGTCTCATATTTTGGGTCCTTATAGCAACACTCATGTTCTTATAGCTCATTTTCTCTATTGTCTTGTGTCTTAAATTTTGGGAGATTTTTTTATATCTAATTTTTCAGCTCATTTTTTTTATCCCATTCCTTGCCCTACCTCACCTCATGGCCTCTTCAAATTCATAAAAAAACTTTTGTTTTTATCCCTCCCCTCACCTCATCTCACCTCCTATCAAACAATGCTAACATATCAAGTTCACTTGAAGATGGTCAATTCAAAGAAATGTAGTATCTTAGGACATTAAATTTTGTGCGCCTGTGAAGCTTGAAATTAAATTAAATTAAAGTTAAAAGACTAGAGGAAGCCCAAGTTGTAGTAATTTAAACAACGTATTTGGATGGAGGAAAAAAGAGGGCAGCGGAAGAGAATTTGGTGGGATAAGATGTTCCCATATTAACTATTAGTAAAAATAAAGAAGGAGACAGAATTTCTGAGGCGTGAAACACTTTTCTTAAAGAAATATTTGCCCCACTTGGTAATTTAAGTTTACTTCAGGTTAAATTTGTTTTCTCGATACGACAGAAAATTAAAAGTTTCATAAAGCAAATCTGAATATTTCCACATATTCTCTGTGAAATAGGTAAATAAGATTGTAGATTTTTAAGAGAAAATTTTGAGAAAAAAGTGAGTCTGGAATCATAAACTACTTATAGGTTTAAAAAAGTGTCTCCAACAATCATAAACTACTTATAGGTTTAAAAAAGTGTCTCCAGCAATCATAAATTTTCAAAACAACCCTTGAAAAACACATTCATTTTCTAACTGTCAAAAAGCTTAATTTCGTGCTGTCGCAACTAGTAAATGCAAGTATTAGGAGCAATCCGATGATCTTATATCTAGGGCTTTTTCGGTAGTTACTATAAGGGAACACAAAAAAGATTGCGTGAACGCTTCGTTATTGTCAATCGTCGAATAATGGAAGATACAAACAAAACCAGCATAACCTAGTCAAAACTGGACTTTTGATGCTGGTTTAGATTAAAATCAGGAGTGTAACTAGCATTTCCCTTCTAAGATATACCGGGCTTTCACACAACAACGGCATTTTAGAGAGATTCTATGCAGCCTTGACTCCATCTTAATCAAAGGCTTCGTTTATTACGCGGGAATGAGTAAGAATAGAATGTTCATTTTCACTTCTCATTTGTATGTATCAAAAACACTATTATTTTAGTAGCTAGAATGTCCATTCCTACATCTCATTCATTCCCTTATTATGTGGGAATGCGCATTCACAATGCGTCGGTAGGGAATAAGCATTCCTAGTGAGAATGAAAATACATACCAAATATTTTTAAATGGGTTTTCTATGGAGTGTCCATGGGCACTCTATAAGAAAGGAGAGAGATAGAGAGAAATGAATGAGGAGGGGATCCCAATGCAAATTAGGGCCCCCCCCCCCTTTCGTTTCTCTCTATCTCTCTCCTCTCTTATAGAGTGCCCATGGGCACTCTATAGAAAAACTGATTTTTAAATTATCCATATTGCATACTAAAAACTTTAAAAAATTGCATTACCGTTTCATTCTCTAATCGTAACCAAACATGAAAATTGAAATGAGTATTCTATTCACACTCATTCAATTTCATTCATTGCTTTATTTTTTTATTATTTGATCCAATTCCCTCCCATGTACTAAGCAAAGCGTTAAGTATTTATGTATTCATTTTAAGGTTAATCGTGCATATATATAGTGTGTGGTACGATTGTTCTGAACCTACTACTACTCTAATTTAATTTTTGAAGATAAGGCTGAGGAAAATATTTTGACCCTCAAATAAAGGGAAATTATTATTATTATTAACAAATAGACCCATGAGGGTAAAAGTAAACAAAAATCCGTCAAGACCTCTCTGCAAAAATGAAACGAGTGGGTAAAAAATTCAAAACGGCGATTATACGTGTTCTATCCACAATTAACCCCTCAATTTAAGAACCACTATACTGTTTGGCTACCCAAATGCTGAAATCATCGATTGTCACATTTATCTCAAAAAATGGGCCCAGTCCATATCAGCTAATGGGCCGTTATCTGACGCATGGCAACTTGAAGCAAAAATTCAGAGAGGCCCATTAAAAAAAATACTTCCGACGCGATAAAGCCCGAAGCCGGTGCATCTTATCACCCTTGGCGCACTTTAGAAAAAGCGAAGACGAAAAGAAGAAGAGAGAGCAATAAATGGCGTCGGGCTATCTACCGCATCTCAAGATCGCCGCGAAAAATTCTCCAGTTTGAGCAAAGGTAAGCCTCCGAATCTTCACGTTCTCTCTCTATTTCTTCTTTACAAAACCCTAGCTCTCGCGATCCATTAAAACCCCCAGAAACCCTAATTCCTCATGGATGCACTCGAAGAACCCTCCCCTCGAGACTCCCCCAACTCCGACGCCGACGTGTCATCGCCGGCGGCGTCGTCCAATTACTCTTCTTGCGATGGATCGGAGTTCGACCGTTACTGCAGTGCGAATTCGGCGTTGGGGAGCGCGAGCTTGTGTAGTTCGGTTGGGAATCACAGCGAACTGTTGGAGTCTTTGAAGAGTTCTCATCGTTGGAATGGGTTCGATGGGTTGTTGGATGTCGGCGGCGTTGAAACCCCGAGAGGGAATGGTTCAGGATTGAGTCCTCCGAGCAGGAATAGAACTGAGTCCAAGTTTTCCCGATCGTCGTTGGAGAATTCGATGAGTTTTAAGGGAAAGTCTACTGAAGATTCGGAATCCGAGGGCGCGAGTTTTGATTATGGGAGGCAAAATGGTTATCAAGGAGACGTAGTTTTGATGGATCGAAGAAGTTCGCTGGCGAAAGTTAGAACTGGGTCCGACTCATTGATGAAATCTATGGATGATTCGTCGTTGGATAAGGGTAAATCTTCTATCAATGCCACAAATTCGACTATTGGAAGTGGATTGAGTGAAGAAGAGACTAAGTTTGGCGAAAATTTAAGTTGTGAAGATTCAGAAGGTGAGGCCTCGAGCATTGGTTATGGCTCTGGTGATGAGAGAAGGATTCATCTTGTAATGAGACATAAACAGCAAGTTAGTAAAGAAAGCGATAATGAGACTGGGAACCCATTGTTTATGAACTCATCGGTGGCTTTTGGGGCTAATGACTGGGATGAGTTTGAGCAAGAAAGAGCAGGAGTTGATTTAGGATCACTGTCATTATATGAAGATAGTCTAATGCAGCAACAGCCATCAATAGCTTATGTAGATGGTCCCTCTGTAAAAGAAACAAAAATCGATGTCAAAACTCAGTTGAGAGATAATGAAGTTTCGAGCTCACAAAAATCTTTTTCAGAAGAACCTTCTGTGGAAGCGACATCCATCCACAGTGAGGAAGCACCTCATTCTGATTTAGGTGAAACTTCTTCGAAACAGATAGTGGATGAATTGGAACTTACAGTTACTCCCCTTTGTAGTAGTATTTTTGAACAGTCCTTTCATGCCCTGAATAGAGCTTTCGAGAGAAAAGGTACTGAGGCCGATGACATTGATGAGGTTGGTATTGGTCAGGATTTGGCTCCTAAAAGCATTCTAGTCACGAGTACTGAGTCTATAGATGTCGTTGGGGATGATCTTCTACTGAATGAGGTCAGTTAAATATTTATCTGTGTTTTCCTCTGAGAAAGTATTGCCGCGTTCAATTTTTATTCCTCATTGTTGTTTTCTTACAGTTTGCACGGAAACCTGCTTTTAGCTTTAGTTACACACTCTGCCTCAAAGTTGTTTTTTTGGCTAAATTTTTGTTTGATATGGGTATGAGATCTTAATATATGGTAATCTTTCCTCTCTATGCTAGGTTCATCCCTGACTTAATATGTATCGAGTTAAATAGTGTTCCCTTATATGTGTTTGTGCATTCATACATAATTTTCATATTTGAGTTAGTATGACTTAATGATAACATTTCCTATGTTGCAAATCATTCTTATGATGCTTGTTCTGGTTTTTCCTTTAAATAGTACACCTTTCTTGAAAAATAGAAGATGAGCTTATCTGGTCAGTGATTAACAACAGCGACGCACCAAGGTTTTAAATCAGCCACATGGTTGATGGCCAAACTGTGAAACTATGTTACACAAAAGTTCATTCATACTTGTAATGTTACCATTCTCAAACCTTCTATCAAAAAATTGTGGTACATGGCCAATAACATATGTTTCTCTGTGGAAATATAAATGGCACCTTGATTAGTCAACAATTATAATTTATCAATATCTAAAAAATTCTCATCAAGTAATCAAGAATAACTAAATTGTTTATAATATAAACTTTATAACCAATTCTTAATATTTTGTCCATTGTTTTAACCTTTAAATATATGTTTGGCCAACATGAACTGGAAATATGTGGAATAAGACATGTATTTATAGTACGTAAACTAATCAAATAGATTCTTGATGTCTGCCAAAAGAAAAGACCTCTTCATGCTGCCCATAGTGATGAATCCAAATGCCACCTGATAATATGTGGAAAAAAAATTGATGGGTCTGAGTTGCAAAGCTCAGTAAATGATATTACTTACATTCTTATATACAAAATATCAGATTCATAAAGAAGAAACAACACACATCTAGGATCCATGGAGGCAACCATTAAAATTCCATGTCAATTTTTAGAAATCCCTCGTCAATTGTTGAATTGTTCATAATGTGAGGAGACATCTTATGCC